CTATGCCTCCTCACCCTCGTGCCTTGCATGCAAACTATCTTGTATGTTTGAACATCTATGCAAATTCTAATTAAATATGTGCATTATTAAATGCATTTTTAGGTACTGAATTGTATCTTTTTTTATTTTTTTTTATACGGGGGGGGGCCCCCCCCCCCCCCCCCCCCCCCCCCGGAAAGAAGAAAAAAGGGGAAAGGGAAAACAGGAAGAAAAGGAAGAAGAGGGAAGAGGAGAATGGGGAGAGGAAGAATGGGAAAGGGGAAGAAAAGCGAAAGAGTTTAGAAAAGGAAGGGCCAGGAAAGGGGAAAAGAGAGGAATTTGGGTAAGAGGATTGGGACAATTTAATTTTTAAACCTTTTTAAAATATTAAGGGGGTTTGGAAGTAAATGCTAGGGTTTTGGGGGAATGGGATTAAGGGGAATTTTAAAAATTGGGTTGACACAGTAACTCCTGTTCACTGTCTTATGGGGTTCTAAAAAATTCAAAGGTTATTTAGGTGTTTAAAGTAAAGTTTATACAATGAAGGTTTAGGGTTTTATTATTTGTTTAAAATTGCGACAAAATTGGGGAATTAAAATGATTTTCAATTTTTGGGGAATTGACGTTCCGGAATTATGAAATATTAACAAAAAAAAGATGGAAATTAATTTTCGTGGGTATTACAAAACTTATCTTGGGGAGAAGGAATTTGGGAAATTTAGTACCAACATTCTTAAAAATTAATTGGGTTTTAGCACAGGAGTCCCTTACCGGGAAAAAATTTTGCAATTTTTATTAGGAAAAAAATATTTTAAAATTTGGGGGTTAAAATAAAAGTTTCTATGCCCAAAAGGGGTTGGAAGTTTGGTATTTGGAAATTTATACATAAATTTAAATGGAAGCATATAAACTTTTGGAAGGGGGGTATTTTTTTCCTAAAAAAGGTAAATTTTGTTTTTTCTGGCTTCCGAGGTGCGTAATTTAATAATAATAAAATTACTTAATATATTTTAATTTAAATTAATATATATAAATTTTGGGAAAAATTAAATTTTATATTATATTATTTAAATAAGTAATCCCTATTTAAAATTTAATATTATTTGGGGAATCGGTATCTAATTTTTATGTTTAAATTTATCAAAAAACCCTTGAAAAAGAGTGTTAAGGCATTGGGTAAAAAATTTGAAGGAGATAAAAAGTAGTTTCTTTTGGAATTTTCTCTTTTTGGGTTTTGCTTGGGAAATTTTTTAAAAAAAAAAAAAAAAAAATTAAATATATATTTATATATATATATATATAATAATATATGTGTGTGTGTGTGGTTGTGTGTGTGTGGGGTGTGTGTGTGTGTGTGTGTGTGTGTGTGTGTGTGTGTGTGTGTGTGTGTGGTCGTCCCGAATAGGCAGAACTTGCGATTTTGGCTTAAATGGAACGCTCATCTTGCCAATAGGACAATTTAAAATTTTTGGGTGTATGCAATAATTTCGCCAAAACATTCTGAACCTAACGAAAAAAAAAAATATTTCACTGTGTTTGTTTTGCATTAAATTATTTTTAAACAAATCTAAAATATATTTAGTTGGGTTAGGCTAAAATAAATTGGGTTTTTGTTATAATAAGGTTAGGTAAGTTTTCTAGGTTCCTTTTGATGCAAAATTAAAATTTTTTACATTAACAATTAATGAAAAAATATATCTTTAAACGTATAAGAGAAAATTTTAGAAAGGACTTTAAATTTTTAAAAGAGTTCTTGCTAATTGACCATTTTACATATTCGGCACGACATATATAATATATAATATTTTATATATATTATTAAAATATATATATATATATTATATATATATATATATATATATATATATATATATACATGCAATAAGATCACAGTAAACAGGTGATTTTAGAATATGCAAAACAACCACTGAGAAAGAACAGAGATATTCCAAGCGCTTTCGTGACTACTCACATCATCAAGGAACAATGAAAGTAAAGCATCAAAGGAAGGTATATAAAGGGGTAGCCCACACCTCACTATCAGATCCCACAACACCTGACGCAAGACAGCAGGCCCGCTGGCCGAACTTGACAGGTAGTTCACACAACCCACCAACAAACTATTCTACCAAAGAAATAAGAAATTTAAAAAATTATTATTTGTCCAATATATTATTAAATTCTTCCCAAATTCTATTAATTATAAATGGATCTAATTTATGTAAACCAAAGGAAATATTCATATTATTGTCAAAACTGCTTTTTATGAAACAAGATTCAATTATATTTTCCTGTCGACCATGGGCTTGCTTGAACTACTTTATCAACTTTTTGAAAATCAATTGGGTGGTTAAAATCTCTTACATGAATAAATAGAGCATTGGAATCTTGTCCAGTTCTAATGCTATATTTATGTAGTTTTAATCTTAGAGATTTTTACCAGTTTGACTGTAATAAACTTTGTCGAAAATTTTGCAAGGAATCTTATAGACACATCCATCAGCATTTTGGGGGGAATTCT